CCCCTCACTGACTTGGTGATCAACCGAGTCTCCTGACTTTCAATACCATCTAAATGCTAATGACTCCCAAACTTAAATTTTCAGCCAGGACCATTTCCCCGCAGCCAAATGCCTACTCAACATCTCCATTTAGTTGTTTAGTAAGCCTCTCATATTTTACATGTCCCAAACTGAAATTCTGACTTTCTCCTCCAAACCTTCTCTATAAATTATAACTCCAACCTTCCAGTTACTTAGGCCAAAGCTTTTGAAGTTAACTGAGACTCCTTTTTTTTTTTTTTTTTCCACAGCTCATATCAGATATGTCAGCAAATTTTTTTGGCTTTACCTTCAAACCATTTTCAGCATTCAATCACTTCTGTTGTGCTATACATTCAAACCACCATGATCTCTCACCTTTCTTATTGCAAAAGCCTCCTATCTGGACTTCATGTTTGTACACTTTCTCCCTTATAGCGTGCTTCCAACAAAACTTAAGTGATTCAATTAAATTGTATACAATTCAGGGNCTAGCAACTTTAAATATTATAATGGCAGGGGGTTCAGAATATTAATTCTTTATATTTCCAGAAGCTTAGGGTCTAGCACTCAATAAGTGTCAGTGAAACAAATGGATGGGTAAATGGGTAAAGAAGACTTCTTTTTGATCATACATGCCCTTTTTTTTTTAAAGGAAAGACTTATATGTTTTGTTTATTTAGTCTTTTGTTATTTTGCTGAATATTTTTGCTATTTGTTTGCTGGACATTTCTCATATTCTTTAAAAACTATAAAATCCAGACTTTTCTTTGGAAAGCTAGTGTATGCCTTATGGCCCCCTGCCACGTTTGTTCAGGGCCTGGAATTGTACCATGTCCCCAGGCACTTGGGGCCTGGTCAGATAGAAGGACTTGAGATCCATCAAAAATTGGGGGGTTTAGGGGGTGGGGGGCAGGCAGGGGTTATTAGTGATGCAATCTATTTGCTTTTTTATTTATTTTAAATTTTGTCCTTACATCAAGTTAGATTTCTAGAATATTTGGACCACATTAGCCTAGCCCCTCACTAATCCTCTCACAGAGTCAATTAATGCTATGATTTTTAGCTTTTATCAAACCATTTGTGTGTGTGTATATTTACTTTTATTAAAGCATTTTTCATATACATGTTTTTTAAACGTATGGATTGATCTTGTGTTTCTTGACATTTTTCTTGAGAACACAGGGAGAGATTTGGTTTAAGTTTAGTGCAGCATATTTATCTATACTATGGAATATTGTTCATCCATAGAAAGGAATGAAGTACTAATACATGCTATAACATGGATGAACCTTGAAATCATTACGCTAAGTGAAAGAAGCCAGGTCACATATTGTGTGATTCCATTTATATGAAATATGTAAAACAGGAAAACCCATAGAGACAGAAAGTGGATTAAAGGTTACTAGGGGCGGAAGAGAAGGGGAAAAGAGGGGCTGACTGTTTAATGGGTTTAGAGTTTTCTTTTGATGAAAATATTTTAGAACTAGATAG